GAAAGCTGCGCTACTGACTGACTTTATTCCGTACGGCACAAATAGTCGATGCACAGGACAGATTTCTGGCAGTGTCTGATATACACGTGTCTGAGGCCTGAAACACACACGTGAACTCCATTTCAACTTGCGCAGTGTGTGTGTGGCCTCGAGATGTTTTGAGATTGACTGAACGCTTCTCATTTAACTCTTTGTAGTCCCATTGGAAGGGTTTAGATGTGTGATCTGGAACATTAATGGCTTTATTTTGGCAGACAGGATATTGACACACTAATTCGTTTGTTATTTGCCACTAAACAAGATGGTACTTAAGAACTCAGCCAAATCTCTGCCCAGAGAGACGCTTTTATCTTTGTACGAAAACTTTTTTTTTAACATATTTCTGTCTTAAAGACACCAAGAAAAGCTCAAAGCTTTTTGTTTTACGTTACAGGCTGGGTTTTTTTCTTCTTCTAATTGCTAATGCTCGTCGGAGCAGTGTGTATAAGTTAGGAGGAAGGGACACTCTCATTCTAGAGAGCTTTGTGGACTAAAGGACAAGAATCGTCAATAGTTTTGGTCTGTTTGCCCAGATGAAAAAGGCGATGTGAATGCATGCATATACACTACCGTTCAGAAATTGGGGGTTGGTAAGATTTTTAGGTTTTAGGTTTTGAAAGAATTCTCTTTGCTCACCAAGGCTGCATTTACGGTATTTAATCAAAATACAGTAAAACTAGTAAAATTGTGAAATATTAGAATTTGTTTTCTATTTTAATATATTTTAAAATGTAATTTATTCCTGTGATCAAAGCTGAATTTTATTCCAGTCTTCAGTGTCACATGATCCTTCAGAAATCATTCTAATATGCTGATTTGCTGTTTATTATCAATGTTGAAAACAGTTGTGCCGCTTAATATTTTTGTGGAAACCATGATGCCGTGTAACCATTTTTAGCAGGATTCCGGTGGGATTCTGATAAATAGTTCCAAAGAGCAGCATTTATTTGAAATAAAAATAATTCCTAACATTATAAATGTCTTTACTGTCACTTTTGATGAATTGAATGCATCCTTGCTAATAAAAGTATAAATTTCCTTCTCCAAAAAAAATCTTACCCCAAACTTATGAATGCTAGTGTACAGTATATGCTAAAATTAAGCAATAAGGTACGAGAATATAAGCTGTGTCCCAATTCAGAGGCTGCAAGGAACCTTCGAATTGGGACAGCCTTCGTCGTAGGATGCAACCTCTGAATTAGGACACACCTCTAGTAACGGCTTTAGGGTATTGTTTGGAGTAACAAAACAGCCATTTTATTTCCACGTAATAAAAATATGAAGTACTTTTCATTAAAGCATTATTTTATTATTGTAAGCGTCATCCTTCCGCCAGAAAACATAGTCCCTGACATGTTAACTAATGAGTACATTCGCATAAAGATGTTGGCCTCATAACATAAAAACCACAAAACTATTGATTTCACAGGGTCTTTAAACGGGTGAATGTGGCCCACAGAACTCGTGTTTTCAAGCGGTTCAGGGAGTTTCAGAGCCTCCTCCGGTCTGAAATCGCTGTCCAGAGCAGCGGTATCACGGTAGCAGATGGCTCGCGATGTCGGGTGTTGAGATTCCCGCGTTTCTGTTGAGAGTTGGGCGGCACTGCTTGGCGTGAAGCTCTTTTGCACGGCCCTCCCTCTCTCTTCCCTTCCCTTCCCTTCCGCTTTAATACAACCAGCAGGAGCTGCGTTTGATCCTAACTGCATGTGTGATGCTGACTCCATGCTTTCCCATCTACCCTCGCCCATTTCTCTTTCATCTTAAAGGGATTGTTCACACAAAAATGGAAAATTGAATCATTTACTTAAACTTGCACTGCAAAAATTGAGCGAGTTTTTCAAAGTAATCTTGTTTTCCCTTCGAATTACGATTTGTTTTTAACCCCATTTGGCAGATATTCTTGTTTTAAGCATAAACTTTGCTTCTCAAGTAAATGTATCTTGATTTAAGAATGTTAAACAAGACGAAAAATACTAAGAAAATAAATCATTTTTGCAGTGCATGCCATTCCAAATTCCATGGGACACAAAAGAAGGAATTTCTGAAGAGTCTTCACACATTTCCTGCCATAAAGAGACATCTAAACTATTTAAAAAATCCTACTTTTGTGTTCCACTGAAAAACTAAAAGCATAGGTTTGGAATGACATGACGGTCGGTGAGTATATAATTCTGGAGTTTTCTTTTCTTTTTTTTTTATGATGAACTATCCCTTTAAAGCACAAGCACAGATGCAAGTCTACGTGGTCAAGTGTAAAACGCTTCTTTTAACGCCTTTCTGTAGCCAAAACGTGCCTTAAAAGTGTTTCAACGTGCTGGTGCGGTGGTATTGAAGACGTCGGGGTGGGTGGGGTTTCGGTAGTCGTGGGGCGTGTAGAGGTCAGAGGTCGTGGCGTACGTGAAGTGTGGTGTGTTAGACATCAGTAAGTGCAGTATTCAGAGGTGTGCTGTAGCCAGAATATGCCAATATATTTGAACATGCTGTATGTATAGAGCAAAAGCGCCCGTTTTTAATACCGTGCAGATCTTTTGGGTGTTTGTGGTGAGTGTGTGTGTGTGTGTGTGCTTTTTAGGAGTTTTACTGCATTGGGAAAAACGCTCGAGCTGAATAAATGTGCGGAGGAGAATGTCAAAACCTTCCCTCCGGACAGCTGCCATTACGTTTGGTCTTTATGCAAAAGGAATTATTGATTAGCACAAATGTTTTTATTATTGTACCGACCCGAAATTGTGTTTCAATGGTGTGTATGAACAAACAATCTGTACACGACCTTTTCTTACTGCTGTGCAGTTAATATCATTATTTTATGTCCTAAAGAAAATATATGCCTTTGTATTAAAATGCAAATCTGTCTACACTGTTCTCCTGTGCGTTATGCTCTGAGATAACTTGTTTGTTGTTGTCGACATCCCCCCTTCATTTGTGAATGTGCCGAGAGCAAAGTATTCTGGGATTGCGGAGGACAACGAATTCTCTCTATCGGGCTCTCGGAGGTCTGATGTCGTATGTGTGAACTGTGCCGCCACAGGTCCAACATGCCGTCTGATCCTTATGTGAATAAATATACACGTCCATCTCTCGAGTGTTGGGTTTCGCCTCTTTTCTGGCCCCTGGTCTAGAGGGTCTCTAATGAATCAGGTGCCGTAAAGACATTATGTGACCTTTAATGATGAGATCTATGACATTTTGGTGTCAGCACAGAAGTTTATGTCTTCAAAGGAGAGCGGAGCACCAGGAAGAAGCTTCGAGAACCAGATTTTGTGTTGGATGTCAATTGTGGGGACAATATTCAGAATTAAGTTTGTGGTTTTCAATTGATTTCATGCCCTCAGCAGCCAATATTAACCACACAAACCATGTTAATCTTATTTTCACATAGTTTTGGTCATGAAGGTGTGTTACACAACCTGAACATCTGCTTAGTTTGATAAGCCTCCAATAACAACAAATATGGGAAGTGTTTTCTTCTCCCTAAAATGTAACAAAGTAGATTTCAAATTTATGCAAATAAGCCCTGAAGGGAACCAATGGGAACGGCTTATAGCAACCAGCAGTACAAGGAAAAATCACCATTAATATGAGGCTGCATCCGAAATCGTACATATTTTGAACATGCAATGTCTTCGAGACCGCAATAAAAGTATGTTCTTCTATGTAGTAAGAATGTAATCCGGATGGCCTACATTCATCATGTTGTCATTATCACATGATGACCAACCAGCCTCAGTTAAATCGCTTCACTGCCATCCACAAATCCTCTCCAATAGCCTGGTGGGATTAAGCGTCCATCATATACACACTTCAGAATCTCGCTGGAAGAAGTAGGTCTTCTGGGTACTTTTTGCAGACTCTTTTACTGTGAATTGAGACACACTACTTTTGTCACATACTATTTTTCACCTATATAGTAGGGAAGTATGTGATTTCGGATGCAGCCTGGGTTTAGTGTGCGTTCAGGGCACTGCACTTTGGCATTTTTAAGACATGGGACAGTCTTGCGCACGCACTTCCTGTCACTTGCACGTTCTCTCAAGTGGCCAAGGCCGCAAATGTGGGTGTTTGGACAGGCCCAAACAGTATAAGCATTGTGTTGTCATTTTAAGACCCACAATGAGGGCTTAAAGTGGGTCTGTCGAAGAAAAATGACATCATTCAAAAGTGTTTTTGGAGCAGTGAAGGAATAGGACAGTGTCAAAACCAACACATGTGAAGTCTTGAGCCCACCAAACGGATCTAAAGAGTGGAAATATGTCAGATTATCAGAAATCCCCTCACGATTTATATTTTTAGAGGCGATGACGACACCGTTTGAATATAAACCCTTCACCTTTTATACCTCTTGACTTATGTAAATTCATAAAGTCTCAGACAGTAATAAGCATTATATGAGTCTCTGTCTTCTAGTTAAACACGGGGAAGAGCAGGTCTGCGTGTGAGACTTTGTTTCATAAGAGCTTCTGCTACCCTTGATTCTATAACCGAATTAATCCGATCAGACCGTGCGGCCCCCCTGCATGGGCACTGAATTAACTTAGTCACGATTCTATGCAACTGGGCTTGAGCCTCAAAAAAACAGCTCCGATTTTCCACACGCTGGGAAAATAAGAAGATCGGGCCCTTTCATTCTCGCTGTGAGAGCCATCACTCAAGGAAAGCCCACTCTGGCAGGTGTTTGTGTTTGTATTCACCTGCAGTGGTGTCTAACCCTCAGATATTAATGAGATTTCTTCGGCTTTGCCTTAAAGGGAGACACGGACCCTCAAACTCACACACACTCAAGGATTCTCCCTTGGCTGCGGTCCAAGAAAATCTCAGAAACTGAAAAGGGGAATTGTCATGATTAATAATGTAGTGCTTGACCACAAACAGCTGTAGCTTGTGGAGGTGTTCAAGGCATCTGCATATCTCAGAGGAGCCAGAGGGAGAGTTTGAACCTGAATGGAGTTCCTCACACTTCAGGGACATCTTCCCCTACTCTTCTCTGGCTTGATAGAAAGTTCACTTTTTGCTCTGTTTTCCCTTCGGGCGAAATGAACCAGCCTGTTTTTGCCTCATCCACCAACAGGAGACCAAATACAGCTGCATGGAAATGTAAAAGTGAATTTGGTATATTAAATCGTATTATTACCAATGCATTCAGAGCCATTAACCAAAACAATACTAGAAGATTTATAAACAATTAACGACTTGACTTGTTGCCTATGGGTGAATAAAAAATTTAGTGTCGTCAGAGTTTTATGTACTAACAGTAACCAGGGCCACATAAATACTCAAGTATGCACTTTCAGCAGCATCTGGAGTCATTTTAAATTAATGTTTTTTTTTATGAGAAATAAAATATAAATAATTAAGAGAATGTGTATCACATATATAAAATAAAACTGGTTAAAATAAATCACTACTTCGTATGATTGTAAAAATATTCATACATTTATGGAAATCTTGATAACAAAACAAATGCATTATTATTCGCCGCGACGCCGCTAGCAGACGCTCTATCCGGAAATGTGTACGTCATAATAGAGACAGTGCATATCAAGTTTGATCCAATGAAATTAGGTAGTGGGCGCCCACATGTCTCTGGTTCAGCCAATGAATGTACACTCTCTTACGTTTCATCCAATGCGAGTAGAGAGAAGGCGGGGCTTAGGTGTGTAGCGCGGCGGTTAAGGAAATCCAGCTCGTGTGTTTATGTGCATTAAATGCTTATTTTTGTATTGCCAGTGATATTTATTCACTAATGCGGAATAAACATTTGCAGGTCGGACAGCTTAAGCTCGAGTTTCAACGTGAGTAAATGATCTCAGAGACGCATTTGTGAACGTGCAGGCGTTTACGCTGCAGTTGTGTTTGTTTACTGCCTTCGGTATTAAATGCGTCAAATACAATGCCTTTATCTGCTAAAAAAAACAATAATGAGTCTAATAAACCTTAAATTATTGTATGTAAGGACATATTTAGCTGTTTGCTGTGGCTATTGGGTTTGGATCATGTATGCTTCATTCATTGAAACAGAAAGGTGTAACCTTAACTTACTCATATTACAAATAAGATAATAATAAACAAAAGGTATTAAGACACTTTACCATTTAATACAAAAGAAATAGAAGCGTGATTAAGGACATGGAAGAACTGTGTATATCCTCTAGTCTAGTGTTGTATGAATTCCATAAATGTTTTTTTTTTTTTTTGGCGCAGATCTCGCTGCGTCATGATCCCGCGCTCTCGCTGAGATGTCCGGTTTCCAAGGCAACAGCAACAGCATCACGGGACTGCTGGGCGCGCTCTGTGACTGCTGCATCTCCGGGTTGTCATGGAAACGTTGCGCTCCGGGCGCAGTGTCGCGGGAGTCGGCGCGTCGGATCCTCCGCAAGCGTGCGTACGGGGCGTTGTTCGCGGGACTCTTCCAAGACGGGTTGTCCAAACCGGCACCGAACGCCCTGGCGAAAACACCGTCCCACAATAAAATACTAATGATCTCCTTTGACCTGCGCGTGTCTGGCCACGATGAGGAGGCCGAGAGGTTGGAGGAGCTCCTGGGTCAGCTACGGGACGGGTCGGGACTGTCCGAACTCGATTCCGTCCTGGAGCTCCTAGTCCAGCTGGCCGGGTCCCTGGCTCCGCCCCTTCTGTCTTTCAGTCGTGACTACATGCGGCGGGAGCGTCCCGTGCAGCGCAGACTCCCGTTGGGCGGGTACCTGAGCAAGGACACGCAGCGCTTGGAGGAGAGGGCGTGGTCTTTGATCTGTGGAGAGGAGTGGGGCATGTTCGGGGGCGTCTGCAGGACCCTGAGCATCATGGACGCCCCACCGGGCTCCAGGCTGCTCGGACTGGGGCGCAGACCGGATTTCGAGGAGAAGTTTGAGAGAGAGACCCGACTGTCACTGTTTGGTGCCCTACAGCACTCCAAAACTACAGATATGGACATCCGACTGGACCTGCCGCCCGTTCCCAGTAACGCAGATATTACTGGACTCAGCATACGGGTGAGGATACTAAATGTATCTATTCTTCTTTATTATGTTTTAGTCTTATCGTGTATGTTGTTGTTCCTGCAGGTTCCTCTGTCTCTGGATCAGTCTGATGACGAAGGCTTCCAGTCTTCCTCTAATCTGACTCCTGATTCCCAGTCCGAGGCGAGTCCCAGCCCTGAGATTGACGTGTGGGAGGCCCTTCGGACGTTCGTGCCCGGCAGACGGCGCTGTTGGGAGAACATTGGCTGGTAAGAGAGAGTTAAGCCCCGTTCACACTACAAGCGACACGATACCATTCATTTCAATGGGGAGCGGGCGATTTCCGGCGACACGCGCGACAGCAACCGTTGGCGACCGGTGGGACGTGTCTGGCGACGCGACAAAGTTGAGATCTGTTTAACTTTATGCAAATGCAGAGCGACTTTCGGGAGCGACAACCAATAGGAGTGAAGTCAGTGGAGCGCGTCACTCTTCAGTGCTGAGTCTGACCGAGGCAAGTTGAACGAGAAGCTCATTTTAACAGTCAGAAACTGTCCTATTATTTATGATATATCTCCGTGTACATACAGTGGTATTCCCCGTACTGACTCCGTGCCTGAATGGTTTCGGGAACCCAGATAGACCGCTATTTGGCCGTTTTCTGCAGTTAAATAGCCGCGATGGCAAAGAGCACTCACTGTTTCTCGTTCATCTTTAATATTATGCATTTTATGTACTGATTCCATTTATATTTAGACCTTCCAAAATATTTGTTTGTAGCGGCAAGAAAACGTATTTGTTGTCTAACATAGAGTAACATCCGTGAATGTCACTCACAAACATTACTAGGCAACCAGTAGTGGGAACGGCCTCCAGCGCAGCCACTGGCGACCTGCAGCAGCAAAGTCGCTTGTAGTGTGAACGCAGCTTTAAGCAGACTAGAGTCAGACTCGAGCTGTAAATGATCTCTTTATGAACTTTTTGACGCGTCAAAGTGGTAGTTGTATAGCTGTCAATGAAGGGACAGAAATCTCAGATTTCATCAAAAATATCTTCATTTATGTTCTGAAGATGAACGAAGGTTGCGGGTTTGGAATGACATGAGGGTGAGTAATTACTGACACCCATTTTTGGGTGAACTGAGACTTTAAATCTTTGAAATTAGTTTTGTTGAATTGCTTTACAAAACAAAACATTCAATGGTATTTTTTAAGTGATTTTTGTTGAAAATAGGTCAAGAACTGTATTTTGGATTAGATATTATTATTATTATTTAAAACCATTATTAAAGCAAAAATAATAATAATTATTATTATTATATTATAATAATGATTTTTTTTGATATTCTAAATATTATAGTCTATTGAAGGGATAGTCCACCCAAAAACGAAAGTTGTCCTACATGTTTAGAACAACATAAGGGTGAGTAATTGATGACAGGATTTTCATTTTTGGGGTGAACTATCCCTTTAATGAATACCACAATCAGTGCATTAAGTTGGACAGATGAATGCATGCATTATAATGCACCCCTGCCGAATACTTTAAAAGAAGTAGTTTGAATGTGGTCCACATTTGTCTTCCTTTTTCTTTCTCTCCTCCAGCCCGCCGGGTCAGAAGGACCCCCCTTACCTGACAGAGGCTGGCAGAGAGGCGTTTGATCAGCTGTACCGGCTGTGGGAAGGAGAAATGAGGAACGTTCTGTCCACACAGACACCATCACCACTCCTGCCACTGCCACTGGACTGCCAGAGTCAGCTGGTCAAAGATGTGCTCAACGTGCTGATCGGGGTCTCCTCGGTCACGTTTCCTCTCAACGAGGTAATTCAATAAACATAAAAAAAAATACATTGAATTGTAAATGTAAAAAAAATGTATTGAGAACTTTTTTCTTGACTTTCTCTTTGCGTCATTCTCCACTCAAGGCTAGTGTACAGTTTGACGTCCGTCCGGATATATGTGTGTCCGGGACGTCCCCTGAGAGTGTGTCTCGTCTGCTGGGTGAGCTGGCGCAGTACGGCACACACTATCTGCGCCTCAGCCGCTTCTCCCTGAGCAGCGGGAGTCAGAAGGGACTCGTCTTCCAGGTGACGCATGCTGTCATTTCTTACAGTACTCCAGGATTTTTTCCCCATAAAAGCAACGTTACACAGATTCTTGTGTGTGTGTGTGTCTCAGGCCTTCACAGGTGGGCTGCGGCGTTACCTGCATTACTACAGAGCGTGTGTGCTGAGCACACCGGCCTCTCTCAGTCTACTAACTATCGCTTGCCATTTCCGCAAACTGGGGCGTCAGCTCAGGTAAATCTTCCCTCTTGTCATGCAATCCACAAAGCTGTGGTTTTAACCTGTTAACTGTCACCCCCCTTTTTTTTTGCATAGACATAAAAATCACTATCCAATAGGGCTGGGATAAACGATTATTTTTTAAACGATTAATCTAGCGATTATTTTTTCGATGCATCGATTAATCTAACGATTCATTTTTCCAGTCCGATTCGATTTCGATTCGGTTATCGATTATCTCCCCATTAATTGACTAATAGCAATTTATACATGTTGATTTACATATCTGAATGAAAAAACATGAATTCCTTAACATTGCAATATATGTTTATTGCTCTTAAAATTCCAAAATAAAAGACTATACAAGTGCAAAGTAATGCATTCTTAGTCAGAGGTAGCATTCAATAAATCTTTGAAGCCTTGAAAACACATAGGCCTAGCTTACTGAAAAAAGTGCATCTTGTAATTCTTCTTTAAGATGAAAATAATAACTTGATGTCTAGCATTCAATAAAAAAATTCTATAAATATTTTTGAGTCTCCCGGAAGTTCCGGGAGTCCTCCGCATATTGAGCGTCTCCCTGATGCCCGCAAATTAGTTCAAATCTCCCAGAATCTTGAGCGCGCATGCGAGACAAAACATACTGCGCGCATAACATACATAGCGCGCACGGCAGAGAGCGAGAGACCTTGCGTGTGTCTCTCGCTCTCTCCCTCTCTGCCGTACGCGCGCTATGTATGTTATGCGCGCAGTATAGTCAACAATCCAGTCAGCTATTACTCTCCGGCGCCGCCATCTTTGTTTTGGGTCTGACGAATCGACGCGCATATTTTGCGTCGACGTATTTTTTGCGTCGACTTCATCGATGACGTCGACGCGTTGTCCCAGCCCTACTATCCAAACTTAAATGGTTGTAATTCAGGAATGCTTTGGAATATAGACCTATGGCTGGTCTTGTTTTAAAGAAGACATTTTCCAGATTATTGTAGAAGTCTAGAAATTATAAAAAATGAAACAGAAAAAAAGTTATATAAGTTTGAGTTTATGAAATTTTGTAATGTAAAAATATAATGATTAATATTTTATATAAAATATATATATTACAAAACATATTTTACTCTAAAACTGCAAGAAAATTAAAGATAAAAATCTGAACAAGTTGTATTCCAAATTTTAGGTTGATATCTCAAAAAATGAGCTTTCAGTAAGATTTTATTCGGGCACAGTACCCAACTTTTTCACTAGGTGAACACCAGACTCCATTACTGCCCATATAAGGGCGCCTCCATTTTCATATGTTTTGAGTGATCTGAACCATGTATTTCCATAATTTTCATACAATTTATGAAGTAGACATCCTATTCAGAAGTAGTATGGGTGGTTTGGCAGTATTTGATTTGAATTAAACCTCTAATAAATGCATAAAGACTACGTTATAGCGTTATAGCTCGCAGCCGCATCACAAATAGAGAATCCATACATTTTTCTTTATATTTAAAACATTTTCAGACCTTTTTTTCTCATAAAATGGAATTGGTGTTATCTTTTGAAGTTGAACTCATGGCATGAAAACAAACTAAGGTTTCTACCAATCTTTCATGATTTTTCATGTTTATTGTTATTTCAAAATAAAGGCCTAAATACTCCTAATGAATATGAAATATTCTTGTTGCAAATTGATACATTTCTGCTCCTCTGTAATTTATTTTAGATAACAGCCACCAGATATGAAAACTAGAGATTTTAAGCTTTCAAATGATATATAGTTTGGCAATATTACTTTAGGTTTTTACTAAGATATTATTGTTTTAAACATGCAATGGCAAATGGGCCCGCCAGCCCGCATAATGTTATGTACTGTGTGTGTATATATATGTAGATATACATTTTTGAATAGTAGGCTACATTTAAAATTATAAAAAATTATAATGTAAAAAATTCAAAAATTGTTTAATAAAAAATGTCATGTTTTGTGTCGGGGCCAGTGAAAGTGTCGGCAGGGCAAGTAGAAATCTAAACTACCGGGCCCGACTGGTTGAGCACAAAAACATTTTTTATTACTGATTCCTAAGTGTCATTATTAGTGGACATCAGGAGGGAAAAAAAGTAACATAAATATGTAGTCTTTAAGAAGAAAATCAGTTTCAGCAGATGCTAATCCATGTCCTGTATGTGTTTCTCAGGTATCTGTCAGAACTGTGCTGTGTGGATGGAATCGCCGGTGTGGGACGAGCAACATTCCCCATGGTAAGAAACACTCATTCTTCTGACAGACACAATAGCTTTGAGGTTGAGTTTGAAGACGTTGTTTTCAGCTCAGAAGTGTTGTAGACGGGTCGCTGTTGCAGGTCTGCGGTGCTGTTTGTGTAATTGGCTGTGTGATGTCTGTGTTTAGGGTGTAAAACTGCTGTCGTGTCTGTATAATGAAGCTCAGAGTAACTGCAGTAATGAGAATCATCCGGTGCTGCTGTCGCTGCTGAAGAGTAGCTGTGAGCCGTACACACGGTGAGAAACTCATCTCCTCTATCGCGATTTACTTATTTATCTATTATTCAACTCAAGAAGGTCACTTAAGAGCAGAGTGGTTTTTGACACACTATATTTTTCCGAGTGACTGATACTATGAAATGGTTTCTGTAGTGTCTGGCTGCCATTAAGCGCACAACAGAGATTCTCTGCTATTATTTACTCATCTTCAACTGTTATTTTTCTTGTGCAACATGAATCCTCATGCCGCTCTTTCCCATACAACCACATCTGTCAAGCTGCATTTTGGAGAAACATTTATTTTTTGGTTGTGGTTAGGCTCTGCGTGACTGTGCGGATGAATATGGTTCTTTGTCATAACTAAAAAAGAGAGATACATTCACTACTTGGTTAGAGATATATCCAGTTTAGATGGAAAGGATCTCAATCTGTCTAGCTGAAGACGTTACTGTAGTTTTACCCATGAATAGACACGGTACTTCCTTAAAAATAAATTCCAGTACAGCGCTACAACTATAATGAAATGACCCTTCACAATCGATAATGCTTTACAGTGAACTCTGATAGAGAGCTACATATTTATCTGTTCAATAACTTCAGTAACTCACCTGTTGAGTAATAAAAACACCATCATCCCCTGTGTTGCCTTCACAACATTTCAAATCCCTCAGTTCTCAACATCTCCGAAAAGCCAAGCCAATGTTGATTCTTGTTTTATTACGAGCTCTGTCGCTATCTCTTTTAGCCAGCTCTCCTCTGTTCTCCGTTTGTTCATTATTTAGCTGCTCCATGTCAAGCTTTCTCGCTTATTGTTACAACTAATCTCTGCCACTCCCACACCAGACACACGTCAAAGTAGCCAGAGCAACTTTACTCTGTTTACGGATATGACGAGACACGCACGGACGAGTGACACATGTACGCAATTTCCCACAAAAACCATCCCCTCAGATCTCAAATATAAATGCTTATAAGAGGCTTATCATAGTGAATCCGGGTCAAAATCAGAACAACAAAAACATGTTTTGGAAGAAGGATTCATGTATTGACTAATTTAAATTTGGCTAATTTTGAACAAAAAAGTTACATAGTGTACCTTTAACTTAATGTCTGTGTAGGTTTGTTTCGGACTGGGTGTACGGTGGCGTCTTCCGTGACGTTTATAAAGAGTTTATGATTGAGGTCAATGAGGATTATCTGACCTACAGAGGTGAGTTTCTCAATCTCACGCTTTCATTTTATGTTGAATGTTTAGATTTCTTGATAAATCCATTAATTTTCTGCTGCATTATTAGATTAAAAATAAAATGCTGTTGGTGTGCAGTTAAATCAGTGATAACAGTCTTAAAATCAATATGTCATTTATGCAGAACTGAATGAATCTCTGTCCCCTCAGATAAGAACTTTTGGACGCAGGGCTACACTCTCATTTCGCAGGATGTAGAGGACTGTGTGCCGGTGTTCCTCAAACACATCGCAAACGATGTTTACGTCTGCGGGAAAACAATCAATCTTCTGAAAATCTGCTGCCCACAGGTGCTCCTCAAACACTTTACAATGCTTTAACTGCCTTTCAGAAGTCAGGAAGATTTTTTTATGTTTTTGAAAAAAGTCTCTACTCACCGAGGCTGCATTTGTTTGATCCAAAATGCAGTAAAAACTGTAATATTGTGAAATATTATTACAATTTAAAATACATTCAAATAGAAAATAGTTCATTTATTTCTGTGATTAAAGCTGAATTTTTAGCATCATTACTCCAGTCTTCAGTGTCACATGATCATTCTAATATGCTGATTTGATGCTCAAAAAAAACATTTATTTTCTTATTATTATTATTATTATTATCAATGTTGAAACCGGTGGTGCTGCTTAATATTTTTTGTTGAAATTGAGATTTTTTTCAGGATTCTTTAATGAAGAGAAAGTTCAAAAGAATGGCATTTATTTGAAAAATAAATCTTTTGTAACATTATAAATGTCTTTACTGTCACTTTTGATGAATTTAATGCATCCTTACTGAATAAATATATATTTTTTTTACCTGAGGTGATTTTTGGAAGTTCAGATTTAACTCCCATCTGTCCATTGAACAGCACTACATCTTCTGGTCGGATATACCAGTGCCCAGGATCGCTGTGACGTTTTCCCTGCAGGAAGTTGAGGAGATTGAGAGAGACTGTGCCGTGTACCGAGGGCGAATGGAGACGATCGCTAGGCACAGCGCCATCAGCAGGGAGGAGAAGGTACTGCACCTGTCATGGTGCTCCGCTTGCCACTGATATATAGTAAAGTAATTATGAGGTTCTCAAAATAGCTCATCCAGGTTAAGTGTTTATATGTCTGAAGTATGCTCACTAAATTTAGAGACCCAATAACGGTGTGGTGCCCGTACTGTTGGCATGGCAACAATGAGATTTTAAAATCTGGTCCATTAACCCAGTTTCATCAGGACACTGTGACCTGGGCTAAAATCTGCTTCATTGTTTTGTGTTGAAGTCTGTCTTCCTTTATTTTCCCCTCTCTCTATAAGGCCATGCGGACTGAACAGGCTCGACAGGAGCTCATTAACCAGGTCAGAGAGACAGCGGCCAAGACCCTGGAGAGAATCAGAGGTCAGAAATCTGTCCCTTCAAAACCCAAGCACGCACACACACATGCACCTGATGCTGTTAGCAGCTTCTGTCTGGGTAAAATTAGTCTTGCGTAGCCAGACTTGACTTTCATCATAGGCCCTGTCCCATATAGCAGCCTTCTGAATTATAAAAGGAGAAATGGGACACCCTAAGGGCCAGGAAGTTCACGTTGAGTGAGCCATTTGGGACAGATACACTTTTCTGCTTATCATGACCAAAAGCTTTTTGTTTAGTTTAAGTTTAAAAATTAAAATAAAAACAGTGTATGGATAAAATCTTATTCGAAGTATTAACAAAAACTCATGCTATTAAAATAACACTGATGTGTAAAGTAAACAATGTTTTTTACAAGAGGAGGACACAGTTGTTCTCCTCGTGGAGGTCAAGTATTAATTATCAGGAAGACCAGCGAGAGGGAGTTCCTCCCCACAGAGTCAGATGAATGAAGTTTACAAGCTGACGTCCCGCTGATTTCACTCTCGCCCCCTGCAGGCCGCCAGGTGTCGCAGCGTCTGGCGGAGGAGGCCCAGAAGAGAGAGCGATTTGAAGAGATGAAGCAGCAGCTGGAACTCGACCAGGAGGTGAGGAGCATGTTAATAACCAGTCAGTAAAAGCGTCTTCAGCGGCTCTAACTTGTGTGGATGTGGTTTCAGTGGCGTAGTGCTGCGAAACGGAAGGAGCAGGAAGATGATTTCAGCTACGCTCGAGAGCTCAGAGACCGAGAGCAGAGGCTGCAGGCCCTCGAGGAGCAGCTGGAGCGCCGGGCACGGTGGGTGGCATACAGTAACACTCAGAAAAAAAACAACGATTGAGGCTGAGGCTGTAGAGCGCGGCAGTGACCTCCCACAGGAACTTTATTTCCCTTTCATATTCTCCACAGGCATTTGAGCAAATTATTCAGTAAAGCATTATGTGCCATGAACCAAAACAGCCCTCAGATGAATCATAACATTACAAAATTGGATTAAATCCAAAGAGGTATTTAGGAAAAAAGACAAAGGTACAAGATTGTGCTCTCTTATGAGTAAATTAACCACTCATCCCATAAATCATCGCACTTGGAATTTGTGCTCTGCATTTCACCCATCCAAGTGCACAGTGTCAATTGAACACACACACACACCGTGAACACACAACCGGAGCAGTGGGCAGCTATTTTTAAAAGATACAAATCTATTTCACTGTGAAGATAATTAATAGTATTTTTTGGACTGTTGCACTTCATAAAAGGACTCAAATATCCAGAGAGATCAAAGGCATTAAGGAAATTCAGAATTAAATGATATATTTTCTGTGTGTTCAGGATGGATCTGATCGCTCAGTATGGTCAGTTATCAGAAGCCGCTGCTAGACGAGAGCTCAGAGCCATGTGGAAGGTGCAGAGGATGAAACTCGACGAGCGCAGAATGAACTTCCTGCAGCAAGAGCAACAGAACGTACAGGTCTGATATCATCTGAGTTTTTATTGTAGAGTTTGGGTTATTGCATTATTATTGCAATGGTTTTCATTAGTAATATTACATTAGTATTCATTTTATAATTATTTTGTAACTTTATTAAAAATATATTTATAAAAAAAAATGCATTTGTAATGAGTATGTTTTGTATCTTTCTCTGATAATCGCAATGGGTGTATTATGTCATTTTATCCATTTTCAATCAATTATTTTTACTAAAATATATGTTAAATATTTTTGCATTTTTAATAGAGAATTATTAGTACCTGTTTACTAATGCTAAAGTGTTTTTCATTTTCTTTGTAAAACATTTTTTTTTTAGTAACTTATTTGACTAAAATGTATATTTGTAAGTATATAATGCTTTATTAATTTATTTTTTACAAGAAAATTCTTTAAAAAACTAGCAAGAAACTATACTAACACAAACTTTTTTTGGTGTCATGTGAAAGTCTCCAGTTCTCAGTTTATGGACCATCCTTTTTAAGTTCCTTAAACTTTTAACTGTCTGGTAGTTGTACTTGCAATGGTAATCCTATGTCCAGCAGTTAGCAAAGGGTATATGTTAGCATCATCCATGAAAGTACTGTTTTAAAGTGATAGATAAGGGGACATCTTTATCTCTGAGGTGTTATGATTTCTGTTCAGGCTCTTCTGGAGAAGTTTCCTTCGGAAACAGCCTACAAACAACAGTCTGCACAACAACACACTGAGGTCTGTGTGCTGTTCTTTACATATACACATCTATAGCGTCATAAATTTAGCTTAAACTGTTGTAATTGTTTACATTTTACAGCAGAATCTTAGTGAACAGCAAACAGCAGATCCTCCTATCCCAGAATCCTCTGCTCCTCTCTGCTCTGATGCCAATGATGAAATGCATGCTCTCATATCAGATGGAATTGACATTGCTGACTTTCTCCCCAAGCCTCCACGCTTCCCTGACAGTGGTGCCGTGACCCAGGCCCTCCAGGACATTTGTTCTGACCTGTTGCAGTTTCCTCAGAAACCCCACCCACAGAAGCCGCACTCAACAACCTCCCACATAGGTCTTGGACAGAATGTTTCTGAAGTCCTAGAGTCAGTCCCTGTGCCTTGTCCATATGGACAAGCATCCAAGTCCAGCTTCCAATTGGGTCAGTTCAATCCAGAGGTGTCAGTAGGTCAGCCGAAGGCTAGTGTTCATGGACACCCTTCACAGAGCTCAGTGCAGCTGGGAGACTCCACTGCCTCGGGGCGGAACAAGGGTCCAATCCGTTCGGAGTCAAACACCCCTACACAAACCACTCAAGAGCAAACATGTGAGGCAGAGCGCGATAGCCAGTGTGCAGAAAAACAACCAACTGGAGAAGAGACAGGAACAGAGCCCTCGGCGGCCAGCACAGGTTCAGAGCCAAAGCAAGCCACACCGGAGCCAACAGAGAAAGCCAAGTCCTGTGAGAGTGTCAGCCAGCCCTCTCACTGTTCTCAGCCAGAGGAAGAACAATCTGTGTCTCCTCGCATAAGCTTCCATGAGTCAGAGTCTAATACTCATACGAGAAATAACAGTCGTGATCCTGCTCCAGCACTGATCTCATCCCAGCCCTCCTCTGATATCCGTGGCCACGCCTCTGACGCTCATATAAGGGTTGGCAAACATGTTTCTGAAGTGACCATTATCATCCCTACCGCTAATATTCATGGCCACGCCTCTGACGCCCATATAAGGGTTGGCGAACATGTTTCTGAGGTAACCACTTCTCTTCCAACCCCTAACATCCATGGCCACTCCTCTGACGCCCATATAAGGGTTGGCGAACATGTTTCTGAGGTAACCACTTCTCTTCCAACCCCTAACATCCATGGCCACTCCTCTGACGCCCATATAAGGGTTGGCGAACATGTTTCTGAGGTAACCACTTCTCTTCCAACCCCTAACATCCATGGCCACGCCTCTGATGCTCATATAAGGGTTGGCGAACATGTTTCTGAGGTAACCACTTCTCTTCCAACCCCTAACATCCATGGCCACGCCTCTGACGCCCATATTAGGGTTGGCGAACATGTTTCTGAGGTAACCACTTCTCTTCCAACCCCTAACATCCATGGCCACGCCTCTGACGCCCATATAAGGGTTGGCGAACATGTTTCTGAGGTAACCACTTCTCTTCCAACCCCTAACATCCATGGCCACGCCTCTGACGCCCATATTAGGGTTGGCGAACATGTTTCTGAGGTAACCACTTCTCTTCCAACCCCTAACATCCATGGCCACGCCTCTGATGCTCATATAAGGGTTGGCGAACATGTTTCTGAGGTAACCACTTCTCTTCCAACCCCTAACATCCATGGCCACGCCTCTGACGCCCATATTAGGGTTGGCGAACATGTTTCTGAGGTAACCACTTCTCTTCCAATCCCTAACATCCATGGCCACGCCTCTGACGCCCATATAAGGTTTGGCGAACATGTTTCTGAGGTAACCACTTCACTTCCAACCCCTAACATCCATGGCCACGCCTCTGACGCCGATATAAGGGTTGGCGAACATGTTTCTGAGGTAACCACTTCCCTTCCAACCCCTAACATCCATGGCCACGCCTCTGACACCGATATAAGGGTTGGCGAACATGTTTCTGAGGTAACCACTTCCCTTCCAACCCCTTACATCCATGGCCACGCCTCTGACACCGATATAAGGGTTGGCGAACATGTTTCTGAGGTAACCACTTTTCTCCCAGTCCCTAACATCCATGGCCACGCCTCTGACGCCCATATAAGGGTTGGTGAACATGTTTCTGAGGTAACCACGTTTCGTCCAACTCCTAACATCCATGGCCACGCCTCTGACGCCCATATTAGGGTTGGTGAACACATTTCTGAGGTAAATACTCATATCCCTACTGCTAATATTCATGGCCATGCCTCTGACGCCCATATTAGGGTTGGTGAACACATTTCTGAGGTAAATACTTATATCCCTACTGCTAATATTCATGGCCATGCCTCTGACGCCCATATAAGGGTTGGCGAACACATTTCCGAAGTAAATACTCATATCCCTACCGCTAATATTCATGGCCATGCCTCTGATGCCCATATAAGGGTTGGTGAACACATTTCTGAAGTAAATACTCATATCCCTACCGCTAATATTCACGGCCACGCCTCTGACGCCCATATAAGGATTGGCGAACACATTTCTGAGGTAAATACTCGCATCCCTACCGCTAATATTCATGGCCACGCCTCTGATGCCCATATAAAGGTGGGTGAGTTTGTGTCAGATGTCGCCGCCTCTCGCCCACTTTTGGGCAAATTTGGTCACTCTTCTGACAGCACTCTTAAAGTGGGTTGTGTGATGCCAGACGCTGCCCCTTCATCCACCCCTCTGCCTGGCAGCGCTTTTGGACATGCGTCGGACTCCATGCTAACATTAGGGTGTGTTGTATCTGGCGCAGTCCCTCAGCGCTCTGCATTGCCTGGAAGTGAGTTCGGACATTCCTCACAGTCTACCTTGGGTAGTGGGTGTGTGGTCAGTGGGATTGAGACTGTTCAACCCAGTTCTCTATACAGCGAAGCCCGTGCGCACACATCAGACTCTGCTCTGGGCATGGGCTGCGTGGTTGGCGGGGTGGTGCCAGGGAGTGTGTATCCTGACAGACTACCAAACAAATTTGACCGAGCATCAGGAGACACAGAGACACCAGCTGACACAGACACCCAGGGTGAGAACGCAACTGCACAAATGTTTAGCACCCTTAGCTACTTTCAGAAAAACTTCAGAATTTTAAAATGATTAAAAAAATGTAACTGCCATTTTCTTTAGAAGTGACATTTTACACATAGGTACAGATTTCTAATTTTAAGAATTATTTATTTTATGATTTTATGTTTTTTGTTGATGTCTGTTGGTCATACACTAAAGTAAGTTCACTGTGGTTAATGATTTCTTATTTGTATTTGTTATGTTGTAATGCAGCGCCCCCTAGTGAGCTGTTCTCCCTGGATGAGGGACTGTCTGCCTGGGCTCTTGGACTAGGATTGTCCCCTAAAAAGAGTCCAGAGGATCGCTATCTCCTCAGCCTGGCCTCACAGTACCAAGTCGAGCAGTACCAGGACTCATACGGCCTGTTGAGTGAGTACCGGACCAGCTGTCTTCATCCTGAACCACTAGAGCTTTCTTTCGTTATATATCAGAAACAGAGAGGTTTGTGTTGTCGTTCCTGCTCTAGCTGCGGCTCCAGAGTCTGAGCTGCTGCTTCAGGTCACACGGGGCCCGAACGGCCTACCTGTCGACCCCTCCCTGTACCGGGCCACCGATGCCACTGCTGTTCAGCTCAGCGAGATGATGCCACTTCCTGTGCTCATGAAACACTCTGTTACAACACCACTGATTACACAGTATGTAAACTAGAGCTGGGTTAATATATTGTAGTGCTGTCAAATCGATTAATCGCATTTAACATAAGTTTTTGTTTATATAATATGTTTCCAAACTTGACCGATACTTTACACACACACACACACACACACACACACACACACACACACACACACACACACACACACACATTTAACATAAAAGTTTTTGTTTATATAATATGTTTCCAAATTTGACTGATACTGTACACACACACACACACACACAGCACAAGCGCAAAAATCCCTGTACGCTAAACATTCGAATTTGTACATTTGAAACTCTCTCTTTCTCTTAGTGTGTCCATGGTAAATAAGGCCGTGGTGGATTATTTTTTCGTGGAGTTGGGCGTGGAGAAGCATTTTAAGACTCTCAGGCATTTCCTGTTAATGGAGGATGGAGAGTTTGCCCTCTCTCTCAGCGATCAGCTCTTCGAGAAGGTCTAAGCCAGTTTTCACTTACACTAAGCCCAGAAATCTGATGTGAAGAGCTTAAAGGGGTCCTATTATGCATTATGCTATTATGCATGTTCATCTTTCTTTAGTGTGTTATGTTGCTGTTTGAGCATGAAAAAGTTCTGCAAAGTTACAAAGTCCCTCCAGCGGGAGTTATTCTCTATGTCAGTAAACGCTTTTTCTGAAACGCACTCCCTGAAACGCCTCCATTGTAGTCTTGAGTTTGCGAACGCATTACAGTTTTCCTCATTAAAATAATTCCCGCCTAATATGCCAATAAAGGGGCGGGGCCTGGTTGAGTTGCGTTAGTAGTGTGTTAAAACTCGTGATAATGGTAACATTTGCCAAATACGCTCAAAGTGCTTGACCAATCACAACACACTGGTCCAGCCGACCAATCAGAGCACATAGTGCTTTTCAGAAGGAGGGGCTTCATAGAGACAGGAACTAAACACAGTGTTACTGACAGACTGGGAAGAGAGGAGCTGCAACAAAGTCAAATATGTGAAAAATATGTTTTGAATTATAGTAGAGCTTAAAAACAAGAGTGCATTATAGGTCCCCTTTAAGACATTTTTACACAAAATTAGATTTAACATTGTCACATAAGTGTAGCATACAAATATTTACAATGCTTCTTATAAACACTGTGTGTTTAGCTGGGCAGTGGTCAGACCCCCGGCGAGCTGCTGACCCCGCTGGTGTTGAACTCCATTCTGAATAAGGCGTTACAGTACAGCATTCATGGGGACAGCGAGCTGGCGGCTCACTTCACGTTTGCTCTGAGATACCTTCCTGAGATCTTCCACCCTCACGCTCCAGACTCGCTGAACTGTCTCGAGCTCCGATACAAGGTCAGAGGCGTTCACTGTCTTCCTGTAGTCTTAAGTTTCTGAAGAGCTAGACATTTTTTTCATGACCTTTCTCTGGTTCTGTAGGTGGACTGGCCAGTGAATATCGTCATCACAGACAGCTGTCTGAATAAATACAACAGACTCTTCTCCTTCCTGCTGCAGCTCAAACACATGGTGTGGTCGCTCCGAGACGTCTGGTTTCACCTCAAGAGGACGGGTAAGATTTCTGCCCCGCTTTTTTACTGTTCTCCCACTACATGTATGAAACTCTTCGCACAGGTAATCTTCCATCCGATTCGGTTCTCATCAAAGCTACTGTTATTTAAATCTGTCAGAATGAGTCTGTATAGCTTTGTTACAAAACTTAGTGAGCTGCCAACAAGACCACATAATATAGTCTGGATAGATTAGATAGTAAGCAAACAATCAGATCACATGTTGGATGCAGGAGAAATGGGCAGGAATAAAGATCTGAGTGACTTGACACGGGCCAAATTTTTATGGCAAGGCGATTGGGTCTGAGTATCTCTGAAACGGCAAGGCTTGTCGCGCACCTGGTCCGGCACTGTTGGACGACAACAAGCCGATGGAGGGAGTGTGACGCTCTGAACAATGTTCTGATGGGAATCCCTGGATCTGGTCATTCATGTGTATGTAAATTTGACACGTCACCTCCTAAACATTGTTACAGAGCAGGTACAGCCCTTCATGACACTGGTGTTCCTGGTGGAAGTGGCTCTTTCAGCTGGATAATGCACTGTCACACCGCACACATTGTTCAGGAATGGTTTGAGGAACATGATGAAGAGTTCAAGGTGTTGCCCTTAATAATAACAATGAAAACTAACATGTCCTCCTGTCTGTCAGCGCTGGTGAAAGGTGCCGGTCGCTCCGTTCAGTTCCATCAGCTGCAGCTGTACAGACACGAGATGCAGCACTTTGTGAAGGTGATCCAGGGCTACATCGCCAACCAGATCCTCCAGGTGTCCTGGAGCGAGTTCACACACAAACTGAGCAGTGCCAACGATCTGGACGCCATTCACCGCACACACGCCGAATACCTCAACAGAGCCATCTTCAGGTGAGGACCCGTGTCCCACATGACATATTCAGTGATTAATATACAGATATCTAGAGAAGTGATTTATCCTCTCAGGGGTTTGCTGACGGAGAAAGCCGCCCCCGTCATGAACATCATCCACAGCATCTTCAGCCTGATCCTGAAGTTTCGCGGTCAGCTGATCGCACAGCCGTGGGAGCTCCAGCAGGGGGAGCCGGTGCACCCCAGCTTCATCGCCATGCAGCAGTCCTACAACACCTTCAAGTATTACTCCCGCTTCCTGTTCAAAGGTGAGCCGCTGCTACAGGTGTAAACGCTGAGAGATCACAGGTGTGACAGGGGCCGATAAGATTAGAGCGACACACCTGCTAACTCAGACACAGACAGAGATGTGTGTGTGCCTTACCGTCATCAGAACAATGCGATATAGCTGAAAACAACTATTCCTCAATTTGTTATTTGTGTATTTGCTTTGAAATGGCTTAGAACATTTGGACAGGACAGCAATAAACAAGTACATTAAAATACAAAAGTAAAATACAAAAAAAAAAGTTGAAAATAATCAATGCAGGTTGTTTTAAATAATTTTTGGATATTTTATTCATGATATATATATATAAACCTGCATATTAATCAATATTCACCTATTTATTTGACTCAAATAGAATTTTTGTTTTGAAGCAAATTGATGAATCGAAGTGATTCATTTAAACTGTTAGACAATTGGCTTCTGGATATTGTATTTTTGTTATAATATGTGACCCTGGATCACAAAACCAGTCACAAGTAGCACTGGTATATTTGTGGCAATAGCCAACAATACATTGTATGGGTCAAAATTATCGATTTTTCTTTTATGCCAAAAATCATTAGGATATTAAGTAAAGATCATGTTCCATAGAGATATTTTTTTAATTTCCTACCATAAATATATAAAATATTTATTTTTGTGAGTGAATGCAGCACAGTCGCGAACATAAATAGACAACTTTAAAGGCGATTTTCTCAATGTTTCGATTTCTTTGCACCCTCAGATTCCAGATTTTCAAATAGTTGTATATCCGCCAAATATTATCCTATCCTATCAAACCATACATCAATGGAAAGCTTATTTATTCAGCTTTAGGATTATGTATAAATCTCAATTTACAAAAATTGACCCATGTGACTGGTTTTGTGGTCCAGGGTCACATATATGTATATATATATATGTATGCATCATTTTTTAATAGACAAGTAGTTTTTCCCACTAATTTGACTGTTTACCGGTCAAATTAATTTTTTTATTTTTTTACATTTTATTTATTTATTTTCAATAACTAACATGTTTACATGTTACACATTTACATGTTAAAAATAACATGTTTACATGTTTCTAAAAATGTTTTATCAACTCATCAAAAAATATAGATATTTTCTTAATTTCTATTTTATCAAAAAAGTAACTGTTGGCAATGCTTAAATTTATTAGCATTTATTATTTGCAATAATACATGACAGTTATAAATTCATATACTTTATCTTGAAAACGTTGGCAGGACATTACGGCTTTATTTATCATGTTGAGCTCATCCATGCTGAAGATCATCTCAGTTAATTAATCAGACATGTTGAATCTATTGGCATCTTTTTTGTTGTTGTTAAGAATCAAACCACAAATCCCATAAAAATATCTCTTTATTATTGCTGTCATATGCGCAGTTTGCGAGACGACGCTGTAAAACTAACCAGATGGCACAGTCTTTAAAAAATTAAACTGGCTAAATAAATACTGTATTATTGCCAGCAAAGTCGTCACAAATACAGCTTGTTCTTGAGCAGAGATCCATACAAGCCAAATGTTCCAGCAGGACTCTCAGACGTGTAATAAAACAGCTATATTAGTCTAAAGGGGTCATATCACAGCGTTTTATCGGTCCTTAACTGTCAGTCAGGATTTATTGTGCCAGAATAATTACTTTTACATGATCATTTTGCTCACTAGTAAAAAAGTGTTTTAATGCTGTTTTAGCCATTTTGTAAATAAGCTTTCAAAAGAAGAAAAATCAAAAATTCAATGGATAATTGTTCCTTTTAACCCGAGTTAAATAAGTGTATATGATTTTCTACAGTGGTGACCAAACTGGTGGATAAAGGCTATCAGCCCCATCTGGAGGACTTCCTGTTGCGGATCAACCTCAATAACTACTACAAAGACTCTTGATTGGCCCGTGTGTGTGTGTGTGTGAGCCCTCCAGCCCTCCTGCTTCAGTGTTCACGTCAGGATGTGTGGTGTGTGTTTATCGCCAAAGCTGTCCGACGAACTCAAATCATGTTGTGCGGTGACGCTTTAATCCACAAAAGCTGAATAATGTGTAAAATAAAATATTTAATTTTCAGATTGCTTTCCTCGTGACTCTTAAGTTAGAAATGGTCACGCTTTATTAAAGAGTTTTACATTCTGCAAAGATGATACATGGGCAGAATCTGACAGTCCAATAACTGCTGCACATCATGTTGATGAATGATTTTATTTTTCATAATACATCATGCTCAAGCTCATCGCAGGTTAAATGTCAGATTGTTACCGAGGCATATTTAAAGTTTGAGGAACACTTCAGGATCAGTTTGTGATAAATGTAAACAATAGTTCAACTTCATTCAAATCACTAGCAAACCCCTTCAGTACAAACAAACGATCACAGATAAATGAGCATGTACCTAATGAAGCGCAGTGGATGTGCGGCTCCACCTGCACAGACCAAACCAATCGCACAGGAAAAACAACAGAAAGGTTTGGAACAACTATTTCGTTTTGTTACCAGACTCACCCTGAGATGAATTTTTCCACAGAATGAATGTTAAAATATATCTACAGGATTTGTCTGAATTTCCTATTTCATTTTAAGTATTGTAAAAGGTATTACATGTAAACAGACCACAGGAAGTTAGTGTTTTTAAATTAAAGTGTTTTAAAAGCACCTAAATTGCACATAAAAAAAAAATGACAACCAAAAATAGAGGGGAAAAAAAGTGCAATTTTGTTTTGCATTCTGCTGAATCCCAATTTGCATACTTCTACGCAATACTTCACTGGTGGTGATGGCTAACTCGTAATATCTGCATGAAAGCATTGCCATCTAGCAAAATCAGTTACCTTAAAATTCATATTTCAAAACTCCATCTGAAACATTCAAGCCGCTGTGTTCAACGTGCTGAGATTATGCAGTATGCAAATTGAGATTCATTCCAGATTTGCGAGACTTAATTATAAACAGCGTCACAATAAAAGTGGAATGGTAGTTGTATGGAATGTTAATTATGATGAGCTGAAAAAATCTGTCAGATGCAACAGGAACCAAGAAAGTGCAAATAAAGGTTCATTGTTCTGTTTGCTGACAATGTAGTGTGTGAAAAATAAGAAATTCTCCTGTATTATGATTGAACTATTCGATAAATCAGCTTGTAGCTGAAACTACATCTGACGTTATGAAACTATTTTAACTGTAAAAATACAATGAAAATCAAAATGCAAGTAGAATCGCTAAAAGGCGGACCCTTTCTTAAAGGGACAGTACACCCAAAAAAGAAAACTCTTGAGTTGCTCTTTTCCATACCGTGAAACTGAAGCTGTTTAACTCTATAAAGTACCACTTCCATAATAAAATTGGTTCATAGTACTCATGCACTATATTCAGAGTCATGCAATACTATTGGCATGAGGAACAAACCAAATTTGAAACTATTATTTGCTGATGAAATGGTGAGAATTTTTATTTTTGGGTGAATTATTCCTTTAACAAGTAAACCCGTGTCTGATGTTTTCGAACTGAAAGGTCAAAACAAGACTGACACCTTTAACCTTCATCTTTTCTATCGTGAGCATCTAAAACTGGGTAAGTGTTAAACAAACGAGTGGCGTTCCCTCGACCACCTGTTGCTTTCCTTCATGTAGTGTGGAGAGAGAGAGAGAGAGAGAGAGAGAGAGAGAGAGAGAGAGGGAGGACAGGAGAAGAGCAGCAGGTAATGGAAGTGTGTGTGTGTTCAGATCAGGCCTCTGACTCCTGGTCATCCTGTCCGGAAGCTTCCGCTGCTTCTCCCGTCTCGCTCTCCAGCAGAAGGAACTTCCCGTCGTTTGTCAGGGGCATTGACTTCATCAGCTGGGCCAGCGCTTCAGGGTCCTGACACACACATGAACATCAAACTCAGGAGAATCACAAGATGAAGAAATCAAAAACTGACCCTACTTACGGTACGTTCTTAAAAAAAAAAAATAATAATAATAATACATATATATACATATATAAATGATTTATTAGAGCACGTTTAAAAACAATATGTTTGCATAACCACTAAATGTAATGACTACACTTTCAGACACAAATTTGAAAAATAATATAAACCAATAATAATCTATCCTTAATCTTCCATCCAACGCACGTTTATAAATATATAATACAAATTGATTATATTACATATATTCTTAATATATATTACTATTGAAAACAATATCTTTAATATATATTCTTATAAATATAAAAATATGAATGTATAATATTACTATTAATAAATAAGAATATTAATGACTTTAGTATAATATATTATACTAATATAAAAAATTGAATTTGTTTAAAATATTTTACATTTAATACATTCAAGTTTATAAATATATTTATATATATACATATATTGTTCATTTAATCTTAATATATTAGTATAATATTACTGTTATTAAAAACTAATATATCCTTAATTAATTATTTGATTTAAAAAGATATATATATATATATATACAGTATATATAATTCCTATTGATAAATATGAATATTAATAGCGTTTATATAATATACTAACGTATTCATTTAAAAAAATTACATTTAAAAATATTTGACA